TACCTTCCATTGATGGTGCGTCGAAGAGACCTAATGTGGAGGACGAGGTCTCTGGTAGTGAAGTTGATACATACACACTTCCACAGGCAATCACGACTACTCCACAAAATAATCTAACACCCGTGTCTAACATGGAGAGGAAGGTTACGGAAGGGGTGCTAACAACAGTTGCTACACATGCGACTTTATTTACGGACGAGAGGCTTAAATTAGATCAATCGGAAATACCTTCCACCTCTAATGTTTGGACGACACCTGACCAGAAGAATGCGATTTCTTCAAATGACCTCAATGTATATACATCCCCACAGTCAATCACGACTACTCTGCAAAAGAATCCAACTCTCGTGGAGATGAAGTCTACGGAAGTGGCGAGGACAACAAGCACAAGTAATGCGCCTATATATACGGACAAGGATCTTGAATTTGAGCAGTCGGAAATACCTTCCACGGATAATGCGTCGAAGAGACCTAATGTGGTGGACGAGATCTCTGGGAGTGAAGTTGATACATATACACCTCCACAGGCAATCACGACTACTCCGCAAAATAATTTAACACCCTTTTTTAGCATGGTGATGAAGGTTACGGAAGGGGCACCGACAACAGCTACAACTGAGACACGAGATCCTGCAGATATGAAGTTTGATTTAATACGGTCGAAAATACCCCTCATTGATTTGCCACTCAGGTTACATGATCCGAGGTATAGGGTTAAGTTACGTCAGCATTATGTACTTTTTAAAAGAGCTGTGGACAAATTACATCCGAATGGGCTAAAAGCCGTTAATGTAAACCTAACTATTGCTAAACAAAGCCTCGATAAAGCACATTTTATGCTTGTTGAAAGTCATCTGGAGAAAGCAAAAGAATATACAGGACGTGGTATAGTTAATAAGTCGGAAAAGGTACTATCAACAGACTTAAATGCATGGTATTTATTTACAAAAGAGGAGATTGAAATGATGAAGTCGAAAATATTTTACTTTCCTCACTTTTTAAAGCTCGCGGATTATAAGAAATTGGCTACCTTGCTTCAATTGCAGCCAAATTATTTAGAAATCGTATCTAACATGGAGGAGAAAAGACTGCAAAAAATTAATTTACTTATGGAAGACTGCGTTCTGAGGATAAGAAGGGCGATTTATAGGACTTTGGGGCTTTCCTACCATTAATGGAATGATAACAAAAACTTTCTTTGATGCACACAATAAATTTC